TGACATTGTTTTTGGAGTGTTTGAGGATGTTATTTCGCATTATCAAGCATGTAACTAAATAAGAAGGAAAATTGAATTGAAATTGCTTAGTAATTGTTGGTAAACGGGGCTGAATTATTCAATTTAAATTATTCGCTATTACTCTGTACTGTGTACAGTAAAAAATAATTTAAGTAAATATTATTGAGAACTATAGTGGCAATAAATCATTAGTACTCCTCTCCATTAAAAGAAAATGTCGAGCGTCTTTCTTTCCTCAAAGTAGTGATGCCAAAAGCTTACAACACACTAAAACGATAACTCTTTGTAACATTTAATTAAAAAATATACTAAGTCAATATCTTCATTATAGTCTGAGAAAGAGAGTGTGCACATAACACCAAATTCGATGCAGCCTGCGCAGGGTTTCTCAAAAATGTTCCAATCAAATGAAATGGAAGATTCCTGAGATCATTTAAGGTACCTTTTTCCTTAGCGCAAATATTATCTGCGACCTTTTTAAGGAGTTGTTAACGAACAACTCTATTCAACGAGTGTCGAGATCAGCTGGCGCCAGTCGACGAGGCACCGAGCGGAACTATGGTCGCGACGGCAGAAGGGAGCTACGCTCAGGCTTCGTACCGCGCTCGAAACATGAACAAGTCAGTACACGTGAAACTTGCCGTATTTGTTTTACCATGAACATGTCTGAAGAATATTCTGTAATTTTTCAAACTTGAAATAATAAATGGTTTAACAGTAGCAGCCGTTTTAATTTGCTGGTATGTATCACATCTCTTGTGTACCATATGAAACTTTAGTAATCTCGACAATGTACATAAAAGATATTTTTGTTTATACAAGGTGTCCCATAATTCTGTTAACACCCGGAAAAGGTGTGATTCCTGAGGTCATTTGAACTAACTTTTTCCTTAGCGAAAGTGCAATCCGCGGCTTTGTTTGCGAGTTATTAATGGAAAACATCGACCAATGAGAGGCGAGCTTGACTAGTGCTAGGCGGCCGAGAGCCAATCAGCGGAACTGGGCTTCGACCGGTCGTTAGCTCGGCCGCATTCCGCGAACTGAGCACGTCTCTCATTGGTCAGTGTTTTTCGTTAATAACTCGTAACAAAAGCCACGAATTGCGTTTTCGTTAAGGAAAAAGTTACTTCAAATGACCTCAGGAAGTATCATAATTTTGGGACACCTTGCATAATTCCGTATCTGAACAGAATTCAACGAACTAATCCCCAATGATACTTTATTTACAACAGTTTTAGGACACCCTGTATGCATCTTCGAACGATAATAGTAGACACAATGTATGTTTTGAATGGAATAAACACGACATTTATTTTATCAACCGACGACAGTGATATGATAGGAATGGTTGATTATTTGATAATGGATACTACGTTGTTTATTTGACTGCATCATTATTGCTCAACACGATGTACAGTGGCTCACGAAAATATGCGAATCCTGTAACGCTGTTGATATTCTTTCATCCTACTTGACAATGAATGTGACATCGGCATATTTTCAAACTCTATTGGCACAATCTTTAGACTTTCTCCTTACTATACCTACGAAATTATTTCAAATAATTTCGTTCAATATACATTATTGCGTTCACGAAAGTTTGCAAATGTAAGCCTTTTCATACTTTCGCGAGCTACTGTATTCGCAGCGACATCGAAAAGGTGGGAAGACACGCACGTGGGCGTCGCCTGCAATTATGCGCAACGGAATGTTAGCGTCTGTTTGCGGGATCCTTAAGGCCTGAGACACGCTATTGTGCTGTGTAATTAAAGCAAGACACAGTTGTTTTTACGTTTCTGGTCTCTTGTCGCTTCTATAAACGACGAACATTAATTTGCAGCAATATCTTTAGAAAGAAACACTACGAATTCATTTCTTGTTCTAGTATAAAAGTATCGAAGTCCGTGTGAAATGTACCATCGATTGATCGAAGTTCTCAAAATGTTAAACGAAAGGGAACAAGTAGGAACACTACATCGTAACCAAAATTAGAACTATAGTGGCAATAAAACATTAGTACCCCTCTCCATTGAAAGAAAATGTCGAGCGTCTTTCTTTCCTCAAAGTAGTGAGATGCCAAAAGCTTACTACACACTAAAACGATAACTCTTGGTAACATTTAATTAAAAAATATACGAAGTCAATATCTTCATTATAGTCTGAGAAAGAGAGTGTGCACATGACACCAAATGCAGTAAAGGCCCTTGCTCTGATCGACTGAAAAGTGGCAGACCGCCACTTTTTCCCGTCAAGTGAACATTTTTTATTCGCAACTGATATTAGAGTTGAAAAAAATTGAAACAATCATATCCACGTCAATGCTGGAACAGTTCGAAGACAGTTGGAACATTCTGAATGAACTGCGCGAAGACCACGTAAGAAATGAACACTGAGGCCAAAAATAGCCGAGGCTCGCAAACATTGAACAAGTCAGGTCTGGCAAAAAATATCGTTCTCGGGCGAATCAAAGTGTAATCGTGTGTCTTCCGATGTACACTAATTTCTCCCTAATTTGCGCTGCGATTCCGCACAAAAATGGACAATTTGGGAAAAGGAGGTGCGATTATTTCTATGGTTACCGATTGTCAACAACTATAAAAACGAGCTGCAAGGCTCGAATAATCGTTTCTCCTCTTCCCAAATTGTCCATTTTTGTGCGCGATCTGAGCGCGAATTAGGGAGAAATTACTGTATCGCGTGACGTTCCCCGCCGCATGTCACATGTTTTTACTTTCAAGATATCGTCGCTTAGCCTCTTGCACCGTAACAACGGGTCAGACACACGACGAAGACATCGTAGATGTAGAATCGGGACTTTTTGGATCAGTACTCGCGATGTCGAATTATGTAAATTATTACGAAAAGCTTTGTTACTAAAATATTTAGACTGTACGGGGCATTGCCGCGGCATGCCGTACCCAGTGACGATATTTGAATGGACCGAGACCTGGCTAGGAACAGCAGGGTGGTGCTTCAGGCTTAAAACTTGTCAGACGACATCGACAGCTCCCGCGTGGCCTTCAAAGAGCACAACCGGCGCGTCGCAATTCGCGGTCCGTAATCGTCTTTATAGCTTCATCGGAGGAATGCCCGGGCAGATCTGGGTCAATTGCATGAAAGCGCCTACGCCAAAGCGATCGCGTCGCGAGTTTATTCAGGGAAAACTGATTCGCCCAACGGTCCATTCGCGGCGCCATTCGAATGAGGAACCCGCGGGCGCTGGCCGCTCATTAAGGCAACATTCACAAGGTCGTATCACGTCTTTGATACCGGCCGATCACGTGCCGGAATACATTATACGACTGTTATACATTGCGCAACGCCGAGCTACGTGCCGGTCATGTAGAGAAGGTCGATCCATTCAGGAGATTGTAATTGAGATGGACGCGTAACAGGCGTCCATTACTGCCGACGGAACTCGGAAAATGGTAATTCTTTTTTCTCTCGCCCATTTTTTTTGTCCGTTTCACCGGTCGGCCTGGCTCTGCGGTTTGCGTTGAACGACCATCGCCGCCGGTGATTTTTGAGTAGCTTCGATTATCTCGATGCTCGCCGGACCGATTTTAATCCTTCCGCGTTGCCCGGTGTTAATGTCTCCGGAAACGTTTATTATCTACACCCTTCCGACCGAATGTACAGTGGCGAATGTACCCTTTTGAAATTGCATCAAATGACTTGAATTTTTTTTCATATGTTGGGCAGATTAGCTTTTTAGAGAATAAACAATATATTTTGTAGATTTTAGTTGGAAGGAATGATAAGAATATTAACAAATTTTGTCTTCTCGACTACTTTGTCCGAACGAAAATTTAGAAATGGCGGTCTGTAGATCTCGGTAACTTATATTCGTAATGAAAATTTCACTGACATCGATTGATGTCGTTATCAGTTGTTAATATTCAAGGTTCGCGAGAATAACAGTTTTTTTACTAATTTCAAGCGGAAGCAGGTTATTTTTACATCTCTCAGTGGCTGCACCAGCGAACCGATTTCAATGAAATTTTCAGTAGGATTTCAATAAGAGCTAAATAAGAATTTACTTATTTTATTACCATTTTTTTTAGTATGTTGAAAATAATGTATCAGTATTTTCAAACTCTTTTAATGCCACTGTTTCTCCAATTTCAACTACTTGTTTTTGTCATAAATAAATCAAGTCCAAGGTTTATTTATCACAACTAAATGTCGCTTTTTACAACTATTTAAAATTCAAAATTTAAGTTGCATAGATTCGCCTCAAGACACATACGTAGAAGAAAATTCTAAAAAAAATAATGTGAAGCACAGAGCTTATGCAATCTTGAAAGTATCGGTATATTATTAATACGCACAGTATCTGGAAGAAAAGAAAATAACAACAAAATTGATTTCACGCACTAAGAATTTCATCCAATGATATCAGTGGAATAATGTAGAAACGATAATTTTGTTGGATTAACTAAAAAATATAGCTTGAGATTATATAATAACATTTTTTTTTAATTTCTTAATCAGTAATTTGTATGTAATCTTATCCCTTATTGTGAAATGCTATATAAGATAAATATTGTTTTCGTTTGGACTAGAAATTAATCGCTGCCCTTATTAAATCAATTACCGCACGAAGAGTTATTCCTAGAATTGTCATCGATAAAAAGTTATCCATTAGTGCTTGAATAATCCACGTAGTAACATCTTTATTACGATGATACGCGATGGAATACGATTATTATATTGCTTGTGAATTTAATTATCGTTTTTCAGTGATGTAGGTAATATGGAAGTTAATTTGAAACAGGAAAAGAGTAAATATAATATATTTAAACAGTCAAAACATTAACATCGGTCACATTTTGATTTAAAAGAATTGTAAAATGTTTACTTCCCGAACTAGCAAATTCAACAAATTTAATAATGATAAATGATGCTATTCTTTACGTAGATTACGTGCATTGTTGTAGTACTTACCATACTATCATTTTGCAGTCATGTACATGTAAATTAGTAAATCATGTCAAGATTCTTGGATTGTACGACTTTATTTTACTCTCGCTAATCACGAAACCTGTTTATACTCGCTTCTGCGTTTTCGAAATGCAGTCTGATATCTGTAATCGACGAAAATTATATTTACATAACTCGTAACAGCATCCATACATTCCAGTTTCCACATCAACATCGTCGAACCTCAACAACATTCTAGTAAAAATATCGCAGCATTTATACACACACACACAAAGTATACGAGTTAAAGAATAAAAGAGTAACGTACAAGCAAATCGTTAAGTATAAGAATAAAAAAATAAAACATTAGCATGTTTTTAAAATGTAAAATCGAACGAACAAATGTTGATTAAAATGTAAAATCGAACGATTCATTAATCGCGATGAGAGTTAAAATGTTATATTGAATCCAACATTGATCACTCAAACTGTTACACATAACATCAACAGAGTAGATATCCTGGTAAATCGAGGCACGATCATTAATCTAAACGCACAAACATACAAAATCGTGATCTACAAAACCTAATGAATAGCGCTGCCATTGCTGACAGAGCTAACAAGAACAGGAGCGGCGATCTTCCTCGGCGCAACGTCGAACCAAAATCCATCTTTAGCCGTCATTTGGAACCCTTTCTTACTGAGTTCCATCGGGATTGTGGTTTTAGAGTTAGGCTTCAAGCTGCAGCGAGCAAACAAGTTGAAGAACAGAACCTTGGTCTCCAGAAGCGCGAATCTGTTGCCGATGCACATCCTCGGGCCCAAGCCGAAGCTCAAGAACAGACCCGAATTCAGGATCTTCTTCGGATCGTCGAGGAAGCGTTCCGGTTTGAACTTCGTCGGTTCCTCGAAGTATTGGGAATCGTACTGAATCCCGTAGATCGGAAACCAAAGGTACTGTCCCTTCTCCACGACGTGTGGCTTCAAACCGGGCATTGCTGGTGGCAGCTCGAACGATTTCGTGCAGGCTCTGTCAACAGCAACTATGACCGGGTACATCCTGAGAGCCTCGTTTATAATCGCATCGAGATACTTCATGTCGTTGATCGCCTCGTAAGTCACCTCGCCATTACATTTCTCCAATACATCGTCGATCTCCTCCTGCAACTTCTCCTGAATCTTCGGGTTTATACCTACTTCGTAGGCAGCGAAGCACATCAAGACCGAAGTGCTTTCGAATCCACCGAAGAAAAAGACGAACGCTTGCGCGGTCATGTCCTCTATCGTGAGTTCTTTACCAGGTCCCAACTTGCCCCTGGTCTCCATCATTAGCTGCATCATGTCCGGCCGCACGATATGCTGCTCGTCCCTGACCTTGATCGTTGTCGCTACCAAGTCCATGAAGAATTCGGTGATCTCAGGCTCGACCAGCTTGATGCCGAACAGTTTGCATAACCAAGGAGCACTGCGCACCAGGAAGAACTTGATGGACTTCCACCTGTCAAAGACGGTAGCCCTTCTCCCGTAGACGTAGAACTTATTGTCACGATCACCTATCGAGTCTACATTTACACCGAAAGCACACGTGCCGATCACGTCGTTGGTGTACCTGGTGAACGCGTCCTTCAGCTCTATGAACCGACCATTCTCTGGTAGCGTAGCAAAGTAGTTTCCGTATCTATCTCCGCACTCGCGCATCAGCTTGAACATCGCCTTCATCTTGCTGGATNCGAGATACTTCATGTCGTTGATCGCCTCGTAAGTCACCTCGCCATTACATTTCTCCAATACATCGTCGATCTCCTCCTGCAACTTCTCCTGAATCTTCGGGTTTATACCTACTTCGTAGGCAGCGAAGCACATCAAGACCGAAGTGCTTTCGAATCCACCGAAGAAAAAGACGAACGCTTGCGCGGTCATGTCCTCTATCGTGAGTTCTTTACCAGGTCCCAACTTGCCCCTGGTCTCCATCATTAGCTGCATCATGTCCGGCCGCACGATATGCTGCTCGTCCCTGACCTTGATCGTTGTCGCTACCAAGTCCATGAAGAATTCGGTGATCTCAGGCTCGACCAGCTTGATGCCGAACAGTTTGCATAACCAAGGAGCACTGCGCACCAGGAAGAACTTGATGGACTTCCACCTGTCAAAGACGGTAGCCCTTCTCCCGTAGACGTAGAACTTATTGTCACGATCACCTATCGAGTCTACATTTACACCGAAAGCACACGTGCCGATCACGTCGTTGGTGTACCTGGTGAACGCGTCCTTCAGCTCTATGAACCGACCATTCTCTGGTAGCGTAGCAAAGTAGTTTCCGTATCTATCTCCGCACTCGCGCATCAGCTTGAACATCGCCTTCATCTTGCTGGATGTGAACGCTGGGCTCAGCAATGTTCGCATATCTTTCCATCGCTCTCCTTGCAGAGCGAACAGGTTCTTGCTGAACAGGGGCTCGCTCGAGTCCGCTTGCATGGACCTGTGGTTCTGGAAGTGCTCGAAGTTCTTCACCGAGACGGACTTGATCAGCTCCGGATCGCGAATCATCAACATCGGCGTGAGGAAGTCGAAGAAGCCCATGTATTTCGCGTCGGGATGCCTCTTGTACAGGTCGTCGACCTGCTCGGCGAACGTTATCTTTTGGCTTATCGCTTTCCACAAACTGCCGAGGAAAGGGTAGGCCTCCGCCTCCGGGATCCCGCGGTCACGGAAGAAGCTGTACACACCCTTTATGTAGTAGTAGATCGCTGCACCCACGGCGGCCAGCGCAAAGATCACCGGCCACGTATCCATCATGACGATCCTTTCACTTCTACGTCTCTGGGTATCCACGCACTTCCTGTCACTGACTTTTCACACTAACTACTTTCTCGATTGAATTCGTCTCATCGAGTCGCGGTCGCTTGTATGAGTGTGGTTACAGTTAGCTCGGATACCCGGTTGCGGACCGGGATCGCAATAACGATCTCGAGTATAGAATACGCTGGCGAACCAACTGCTGCGTGCTCCGGCGTGTAACTGTCATCATTCATCCACCTCGCGAGCCTTTTATCATGTTTCCCCACTGCGTATAGTGGTACGGCCTTTCGGAACGGAGAGCGATGATTTTGTTTGCTTCGTCCCCTCCCTACCTTGACATCGCCGCCTCAATTGCAAAAATTCATTGTTTTTCATTCGTTATCAGCAATTGGTGTGTTGCTTTCACGAAGTGTCTACCGTGAAACAGAGATAGTGAGAAGATGATTTTAGTAGTCGCTTTTGGTGTATTGGAATTTGTGAAAATCATCTACATGGTATAGTAACGAAGAAAATTGGTAGAATTCGTTCGATTTTTCTGCTTAAAAATATGTACTAAGAAAACGGGGCGAATTTACAGGTGTTACAGCCTTATGCATCAAAGGATAGCATCATTGCATCAGATTGTAACAGCCTAATTGCATCAGAGTGTACAGTTAGATTGACATGTCAGTTACACACATGTATAATCTTTCGTCGAAATCATTAAATAACAATATTTAGATTTGTTGCAGTTATAGGCCGAAAGTCGTGAAGACCTGTTAGTATCACAATTTTTAATAATTAACTTATAACGATGTTATTCAATCTCGAAGAAAATTTCAACGTACGAATCGTGTACACTATATTTTCAGTATAGATTCAGATTAAAAAGTTGAGAAAAGCAATGTGTACAATTTTCTCCACAGTGATTACTAATTACAAATTCAGAGAAAATTTTGTTTACGATTACTAAGGAGTTGTTGAAAAAACTGAAGATTAAAAAGATTACTCAATTTTAAAAGAAATAGGGAGACTTTACTACCGACTGTATATTTTACTGTTTTTAAAAGGAAAAGATCGGAGCATCATATTATAATCTAATTTTCTTCACCCCTCAAAACTAGTATAGTTATTTTTCAAATAGGTTTTAATGTTCAATAACATTACCGTGCGCAATTACTCTCTGCTAAATTTGTTACTTGCGACGAATTATTGTACCTTTCTAATGAATAGTATATTGCGGGTTACTCTATTCCATACTATGAAAGTACATATCGTTACTGGTTAATTATTATTAACCGCCACTGTATCCAATATTTACTTGAACTATGTTTAGCAGTTAAAAACATTAACATTTCTAGTTAAACTGATACTCTGAACAGTAATTAATACGAACTAGTTCTAGATTTTTTCAGGCACTATTTCTTTGACAATGTTAACAACTTTGTTGACGTCTGCATTCTATGAGTTCTGGGAAGGATGTTGCTTATTATAGGTTGTGTAAATAACGTGCAATTAAATACAGATACGATCTAGTCGGAATGCATGCATCATGCTTAAATACTTACGAATGGTTGGGAAAAATAACCGTACGTTATGCTGTAACAGTTTAATTTCTTAAAAATGAAAAACGAAACCGAATCATTTTTTTTTTATTTGAATAAATCATCACGTTTATGAAATAACTTAACCTAAATACAGTTGGCCTAAAGATTATTTTTAATAAAATAATTGAACATCTTGTTACAACAATGTCAATACCATATTATTACAATAGAATCGAATTTTATTATATGGGTTTAATAACAAATATAGTCACAAGAATTATATATAATACAACTTTACTTATAAAAGATAATACTTTAAAGTAAAAATATTTCTATAAAACATCTGCATAATTGTGGTATAAATGCGAACATCTTGCATCAGTCTAACTGTCAAGGTTAATAAAAACATTCTGACGGTTTAAGAAGAACACAAACGAAAAAATATGTCGAGAAGTTATTTTCTCAGTTATTATAATAATTTCGCAGCACTTACGAATAGATTATTCAAATAGGTTACCATTTTCACGTATTTGTTATGACACACAAGACCTTGTAAACTTATTTATATTCGAATGCTCATTCAGATTATAAACCTAAGAAATAAAAAATATATAAACACAGTTTTTAGAACATAATTCCACAATCGATAAATGTCTGAATATGATTTTTAACATTTTTGTCGAACATCGTCAATTCTATACATCGAACAAGCTAAGAAACAGAAAAATATAATTGTTTTGAAAGATTGCGCAGTTACATACATATGAAACTTTAATTGCAATGAATTAGTGTCCTCTTTTCAGTTCCCCATGAATAACTTTAATAATGTACATTATGATACCGCAACATTATTCAACAACCAGTTACAATTAACTGATTCATAAACTCCCAAATACATCGTTACGCAATCGTCATAATCTACGTAAAAATTCCAAATATAAAATCGGCAAAGGCACATCATTTATGAATTTCGAGGAATAAGATTGTTCTAATTAATAAAGCTTCCATTGGAAGCAGAGGTTACAGAAACGGGGACAGCGTCTCTCCTTGGCTCAATATCGAACCAAAATCCACCTTCCGATGTCATCTGGAACCCTTTCTTGCTCAGCTTCATCGGAATGGTAGTTCTAGAATTGGGTTTTAAATTGCAGCGAGCAAACAAGTTGAACAGCAGAACTTTGGTCTCCAGAAGCGCGAACCTGTTGCCGATGCACATCCTCGGGCCCAAACCGAAGCTCAAAAACGCTCCCGAATTCAGAATCTTCTTCGGATCATCGAGAAATCGTTCGGGAATAAACTTTTCCGGGTTCTCGAAGTGTTCAGGATCGTGCTGAACACCGTAAATTGGAATAGAAACTATAAAGTCCTTCCCAATCAAGAGTGGCTCCAAACCGGGCAACGCGGGTGGTAGCTCGAACGGTTTCGTACAAATTCGATCGGTGACAACTAATGCAGGGTACATTCTAAGAGCTTCGTTTATAACAGCGTCGAAATACTTCATGTCGTTGATCGCCTCGTAAGTCACCTCGCCGTTGTTACTCTCCAATACCTCGTCGATCTCCTCCTGCAGCCTCTTCTGGATCTCCGGGCTTACACCGATCTCGTAGGCTGCGAAGCACATCAAGACCGACGTGCTCTCGAATCCACCAAGGAAGAAAACGAATGCTTGGGCAGTCATGTCTTCTATAGTGAGTTCTTTACCCGGTCCCAACTTCCCCCTAGTATCCATCATCAACTGTATCATATCCGGCCGTACGATACCCTGTTCGTCTCTGGTCTTGATGGTTGTTGCTACCAAGTCCTTGAAGAATTTGCTGATTGCCGGATCGAAGATTTTTATGCCGAGTGGTCTAACAAGCCAAGGAGCAAGGCGTATCACGAACATCTTAATCATCTGCCACGTGCCAAATTTTATAGCGTTTCTACCGTAGACATAGAACTTGTTGTCGCGATCGACTATGGAGTCCACATTTATACCAAAAGCGCAGGTGCCGATCACGTCGTTTGTGTACCTTGTGAAGGCTTCCTTCAGCTCTATAGACCTATCATCCTCTGGTAGCGTCGCGAAGTGTTTTCCGTATCTATCTCCACACTCGCACATCAGCTTGAACATCGCCTTCATTTTGCTGGATGTAAATGCGGGGCTCAGCAAGGTTCGCACTTCTTTCCATCGTTCTCCCTTCAGGGCGAGCAGATTAGTGGCGAACAGGGGCTCGTCCGGGTCCGCTATGAACATCCTGTGGTCCTGGAAGTGGTCGAAGTTCTTCACCAGGATGGACTTCATCAACTCAAGGTCGCGAATCATGACTGTCGGTGTGAAAAAATCGAAGGATCCTATATACTTCGCTTGCGGATGCGATGTATACATCTTCGATACGAGCTCTGCCAATGTCATCCTTTGAGATATCATTTCTATCATGTTCATGATTGTTCTGCTTCTTGGCTGCGGGATTCCACGAACACGAAAATAACTGATCACACCTCTCAGATAGTAATAGAGTGCCGCAACGCCTATGACGCATAACGCCAAGGTCAGCGACCACGCGTCTATCATGGTGATCGCTTCGATTAACTCGTTCCTTTCGGTTTATCTATTCACTGCTAATTCCTGGTTTTCTACGCAATCTAGTATGGCCATAGAAAATGTGTCTTATAAAATCGGAACCGAGTCGGTGATAGCGATCCCGAAGGCACTATTCAGCAGCGAACTGGCCGCTGGACGCTCCGCTGCTAAACTGACGTTATTCGTCTGCTTCGCGCAGCTTTTATCTTGCGTGTCCACTTTTATGCACGTCAGCATTCGGTTGTCCCCGTTACTTGTCGCTCCGACATCTTTGTGGATTTTTGATACAAGTGAATAAATGAAATCGTAGACAGAGAAGTAGTTACAAGAATTTATAAATGTCAATATGTTTTTCCAAGAAATGTTTCTCAAATATTTCGGATTGGAGGTTTGCAAAAATAACGCTGAATTAATGGGAGATACGAGGCAGAGGCTATTTATACATTATGCTTTGATACTTACGAATGGCTGAGAAATGTAACTACACACCATGCCAAAATAGCTTGATATTTAGAATATGAAAGATGGAATATGAAAAATAATTTTACACAGGAAAAGAAAGTAAGGTCGTGAACTAAACACAAATAAGACTGAAGGGTTTTCTGAAACATGCTTTGTTAAATTAATCACTACACATATCAAATAATGTTATGACGGTAGTAGACAAATCTGATTTGTGTTTAATGTTTCAGTAAATTTTTATATGGATTTAATAATATAGTCACATATATTACGATACAGTTTTATATATAAAAGAAAACATTTCGGAACGATGTAAAATTTAATCGCTTATAGTATCCGCAAATATTTGCATAATACAGTGGCAATTCTTTATAAACATCAATCGTTGCTTAAAATCTTATAACTACAGCGCCAATGGAAACATTTTTCATTAATCTAAATATGAATATTAATAAAAATCTTTCAATGGTTGAAAATAAAACTAATTTTACAAAATGCGAAAAATTCCTATTTTCTCAGTATCTGAATTCCAATAATTATTTTTAATAAAACGTGGTACCTTTTTCTACAGAGGATATTTTAATAGTGCTATAATAATTACTCTATTATAATTACACCACACTTACGAATAGACTATTCAATTACATTCAAAATTTCATGTATTTGTTTGATGACAATTCTTTGATATCATTCTGAAAATAAATCTTCTTTACTTGAGTTGTAACATTAAATTCGTTAAACTAACAATCTTCTACAAATCCGAATATCACCGACTATAAAATTAAAAATAAAAGAGTATAATTGCTTTCAAAGATTGCGCGTTTACACACAGAAGAATAATTAATTGCAATGATTTACGATCCTATTCATGCTTTCATATCAA